GCACGGCCATTTTGATGTGGTCACCTGAAAAATAAATTAACCAACTTTTTTTTTATCCTCACCCGAGGACATTTTTCCATTTTTTGTACAGATAGAGTGTGAGGGAGGGAGAGGAAGAGAGAGAGAGAGAGAGAAACATCGACATGAAAGGGACACATCGAGTGGCTGCCACCCGCATGGCCAACCAGGGCCGGGGACAAACTGCAACCGAGGTACGTGCCCTTAGCGGGAACCGAACCCGGGTCTCTCTGGACCGCAGGCCGACGCTCTAACCGCTGAGCCAAACCGGCCAGGGCCAACTTTTTAAAAAGTGGTATTACCCATGCATGTGCTCGTCCCTGTCTTGCCCTCTTTCTGAGTGGGCTGAGGCCAGGGTCCCTAAGTCCCTGGCTTCGACACGGTAAGATGTGGTAGAGAGAAGCTTTGGAGGCAATGTGTCTGGTTACAAGAAACAAATGTAACATGCCGGATACATGGTAGGTGTCAAATAAATAGCAGCTGATATTATTTTTCCAGAAGGAATTTCTTGTTGGCACCTACCCCTGGGTTCAGGTGTCCCTACAGAGGAGCTAACTCTTCTGTGAAGGGTGGAGAGCAGAGAACCGAACTCACTTCTCTGAGCTGACTTTCCTTCCCCTCCTCTCCCTCTGCTTCCCTGCAACTCCAGGAGCCTCCACCTATAGCACAGTGACGAAGAGCTTGCACTCTTGATCCAGAGTACCTGGATTTGAACCCCATCTCCGTCCCTTACCAGCAGGGCAAATGTTTCACTTCCCTGTGCCTCAGTGGTCCCATCTGTGAAATGAGATTGCCCATTTAATTCTATCTCTTAGAGTGTCTGCAAAGATTAAATGGCTTAGCACAGGTAAAGCCCTTGGAAATTACTCATGATGTACTAACTAGAAATCCTGCCCCCGTTTCTATCCTAATACATAACACGTGTCTCCTCTTCAGGCCGTGCGGGTCCGATCTGAGCAGCTTACCTCCCCCCGCCCCGCCACCCTGTCTTCAAACGATGCCCAGTAAATAGGATTCTCTTCTCTTCTCACTCTAAGATGAGACAAAGAGAACGTCTTGTTGATTTCAGAGAGGAGATGAAAAGGAAACTAACATTTTAAAAATCTTGACACCATACTAAAGACTTTACATATACTGTGCTAATTAATCCTTACAGCAGCTCTCTGTACGAGGTACAATTATCTCTAGTTTACTGAGGAGGATTTGAGGCTCAGAGAGTTTAAACAGCCTGCTCCCACATCACACAGCCCCCAAGTGAGAGAGCTAAGAGCCGAGCTGAGGAGTCCGTGCTCTCTGCCACTCTCCAAACGCTCAGCCACCACGAAAGTCAAGTGCAAGGATCCCAGTCCTCCTGTGCTTGAGTAATTGCAACCTCTTACAGTTGAAGAGAACTTTATGCCATTTAAAATGCCCCCATATACATTATCCCACTATCCCCCTCCATATTTCTCCATTCCAAAGTAGACCTTCACTCTAGAAGAGTCATGGACTTCAAGACCCATTTTACAAATGAGGGAGTTGAGCCCAAGTGGTAGAGGTCTTCTGTAGCCTGTGACAAAGCAGGACTCTGGACTCTGGGTTGTCCTTCATCCTGCAGGTTCTTCTTCATGCTACTGTCCCTTGAGTGCTCAGAACCAAGAAGGCGTTTGGCAAAGTGAGAGAAATCAGTTCTGACTTTGCCCTTCGCAGAGAGAGGGTGTGCAGATGTCACCGTTCCTACTCCATCGGTCTTTGCTGTGCAACTTGTCCTTGCCTGGTGCTCTGGTGCAAGGCCCTCTGGGGATGGAGCGATTGATCTTGGTGGCCCCTGCTTTCAAGGAGGGGCCCCTGCTATCTATCTGGTGGCGTGGATGAAGTAAACATCTACACATCGAGGTAGAATGAGATGCAGTCAGTAACAGGGGTTCTAAGTCTTAGTGGAAAGGTGGGAATCTACGAGGCTTATTCCCAGAGCTTTGTGGAACTGGTATTTCAAATGCTTAATTTCTGCTTCAGTTTCACATTGACAGCAGGTCACGCAGACGGGGATAGGACCAGAAAGTCTTGGCTCTTGCCAACTTATACAGTCTTCAAACCCCTTGGTTAGTTTTTCTCCATCGACCTGCCTCTGGACTTCCTATTCCTTTCCCTCAACATTGCCTTTATTTGGAGACTCTCCCACACCCCAGGGCTTCCATATACTATATAAATTCTCCTAAACTCCCACCTGTCATCACAAGCCTAAGACCCTTCCGAACCACATAGACTGCTCTCCCTCCCCAGTGGTGCTGTGGTTTCCGGGCTCAATCTAATCTGTACTCGGCCCCAAATGAGAGTGTATTCCCGAGAAGACTCAGGAGTGAGTAGGGGAAGTAGGGGAAGGGGTTGTTCAGCACAGGCCGAGGAAAGTCCCTTCTCCGGCCAGGCCAGCTCTCTTCACTCCTGCTCCTCCAAGTTCACATTCACAGGAAGTGGTAAGAAACTTCAGACTTGGCTTCAAGTCCCCATAGTGTTTGCTCTCTGTCCCCTCGGAAGCCCCTGGGGCTGTGAGGGCCCTCAGGACCCTCTGCTGTGCACCAAACAAATGAAAAGCTCAGAGGTGCTGAAGGCCACGTGGTTCATCACTAGCCAAGCCAGAAGCGGGTCCAGGAGATCCCGCTCCCTCCGAAAAAGGAAGAAACCTAATATCATATGGACAAAGGTTTGGACTCAAGCAAGGAGAGCTGAACACCGGTCACTCTAACTGAAGGGGAGCTGGCTAGGTTAATTTCATAAGGACACAAAAGCTGTTCTCCACCATGGCCTATACCCCTGCCCCACTCCACAGTTGTGTAGATGAATTTAATAACTATATCAGAAGCGGTGACTTAGTAGAAAGAGAATGATCTAGAATACCCCAGCCTCACCAGTGAAAAAACAACTCCTATTTTAAAGACTAGAAAGGTGCCTTTATACATGATATCCTAGCCTATGTACATCACAAAACAATAGGCCCCCCTGCTCATCCAAGGAGTGATAATAGGGTAGTAATCCAATTCTGTTATGCGTGTTGGGACCAAGAATCTCTCTAACCCTTAGATTTCCCACCTGCAACACAAAGACAATAATACCTACCTCTTGGGCTGCTGTGAGGACAGATGAAGTCACATAAGATAAAAAGCTAGAAATGCACCAGGTGCATAGTAGTTGCCCAATAAATGTAATTTATATTCTTTCCTTCCTTCCTTAAGCAAACTCTTTATTTTATTATTATTTGTTTTTAGTTTGTTGTTGTTGTTGTTTTTAATCCTTACCGAGGATATTTTTCCATTGATTTTTAGACAGAGTGGAAGGCAGAAAGAGAGAGAGAAACATCGACATGAGAGAAACACATCGATTGGTTGCCCCCCACAGGACCCCAACCGGGGATCAAACAGCAACCGAGGTACGTGCCCTTGACCAGAATCGAACCCAAGACTCTTTGGTCTGTGGGCCGATGTTCTAACCGCTGAGCCAAGCCAGCCAGGGCTCTTAAGCAAATTCTTTAAATCCAGCTTTTGCTGCCACGGGACTGGGCCCCATGAGACCTGAATCTCCTGGGTTTGGGAGAAAGTCTGGTTTTGAGAGGAAGAGATGCCTAAGAATTCTCTAAGCCCACAGTTCTTTCATCTGTTAACAGAGAAATTGTGCTTCTAGTTCAGCTTTGGACACAGATTTCTTATTCCTGAGAGCGTGGTGCTCTTGCCCTCCACCATCTCCCCTGGGACTAGACTGTCTCCTGCCAAGATCACCTCTGCCTGATTTGCCTTTCAGCTGTGCATGCCTGATGCTTTCACTCTGCCCAAGCCTGTGCTAAGAGTAAAGCATACACATACGTATCCTCCTGCCACATGGATGCCCACAGCCATCCAAACATGTCCCATGTGAGAGAAAGCCTAGGCTGAAAGTCTGGACCCCCGTGGGAAAACCCGGCACCTGACTTTCCAACCTAGGGCAGATCCCTTTTACCCATCCAGAGGAAGGCAGCATCCCCAGCTCAGCCCACGGGGACACCCACTCCTGTCTCACAGAAATATTAAGAAGCTTGTTTATCTAACAGTAAGAATAAAAACCAAACCATGGACAGCCACAGCTGGCTTGGGCTCCTAAAACAGTGTGCGGCGGTTTGTCCTCCCACCTGACACTGCCCCCAAGGCTGATGCAAATGGCAGGTGGTAGATTCCCTGGGATTCTGCAGCCAGCCCATCCCATGAGTTCCAGAGGAGACAGACTTGTCACCCTTCTGACACCTGCTCCCACTCTCATGGCAACTCAAGTTCCTCAGACAGGGGGTCCCCAGCCAGCATCCCCCGAACACATCCATGGTGGGGCCGACGCTGGCATTTGGCTAAGGAGCCACTCCAGAAGTTAATCATTGGCCTGGTGTAACCAGGATCAAGAGCCTCATGTTGCCACCTGACACCCATATCTGTCCCCACCTCCCCTAACCTGCTCCCCTTCCTTTTCCAAAGAACTGGAGAAACAGAATACCTTTATCTACATAAGGAAATAAAAGGTTTCCTTGCTGGGAAATTCCCCCAAGGGAAAGAAATAACCAAGATAAACAGGTCTATTGCCTTTGGCTTCTTCTCGGGAAGGGAGTCTCTGGGAGGGCAGCTGGGGCCCAGGCAGGAAGGGGAGACGAGGCGAGCTCTCCTGACTCCCTGCTGCTTCCAGTGTCCTTATCTTTACGGGGGCTCATTACTGCTCAGGCTTGTGAACGTGGTTCCCTCCTTTAATTTTTAAGGAACTAAAGCACTGTGGGGTGACAAGACTGAGCTCTCGTGGGAGAGGTGGAGCCCTTTGTCCTTTCAGTGGGATTTACGTCCATTACCGGAGATACAAAACCAAACAGGCATTACAGGAACTCGAAGGTCACGTAGACTTGGAAGACATAAGAGCTTCATGCCTCGTGCTATTATTGTCTTTCAGCACCCAAGCAAGAAATCGGCCTGGGCCACAGAGCCAGGAGGGCGCCACCAACCATGATGCTCTTCTCCCTTGCCGGCCTGCTGGCCGTCCTACCAGGTGCGTCTGCCCAGTCCCAGCCCACTCCCTGCGGGAGCCAGTTCCTGGGGACACTGGGATCAGGCCATCCCCAGGGATGCCCCTCTCAGAAGGCACACTCCCTCGAGGAGGGATCTCACAGGTGGTGTGGAAAGGCCACATCTGAAAATAGATTTCGGATCAGGAACAAGAACAGCTGTTCCTTGTTTCAAGACCAGGGGTCTGCTCTTCACTGGGAATTAGAAGAAGACCTTGACCTTAAACAAACATCTCTAGGAGTTACACTAGGGCTTGGGGGAAATGATGTATCCTTCCTGATTCTCAATATTTTTATCTGGAAAAAAAGAAAATGGTCTACAAAGTGTTTTTAGAAAATAACAGACAGCAAATGCACAAGTGAAACACCCTACAAAAGTGTTTTCTTGGTTTTGTTTTAAATAACCGAGGGATTTCATTATATAAGTTTGCATTCCATTGTCCTTCACATGGTTGTCATTTGTAAATTACAATTAGAATTTAATAATGATTAATCAATTCCTTTACCCAACAGCAGCAATTGACTAGCTATAGGACATGTAAATAATCCACAGAAGGCCCGTGTGTTAGGTGGAAATTCACCTCCTCCAGGTAGGCTCTTGGAATCCTCCCAGCGGCTTTACCTCCCACGGCCTCAGAAAGCCTCTATTCTCTGTCTCCACAGTGGTCTCCATGAAGAGCCCCATCTTCGGACCCCAGGAGGTGAGCAGAGTGGAAGGCAGCTCAGTGTCCATCACATGCTACTACCCAGACACCTCCGTTAACCGACACTCCCGAAAGTACTGGTGCAAGCAGGGAGCCAAGGGCCGTTGCACAACCCTCATCTCAGACAGCTACATCTCCAAGGACTATGAGGGCAGAGCCAACATCACCAGCGACCCAAAGAGCAACAAGTTTGTGGTTCGCATTGACCGTCTCACCCAGAATGACTCTGGGCGCTACAAGTGTGGTTTGGGCCTTGTTAACCAAGGCCTGTTCTTTGACGTGAGCCTGGAGGTCATCCCAGGTGAGGACCCTTGGGCTTCTGTGGGAGAGTGAGAGGAATCATCGCAGGTGCCATGGGAGGTCTTGAAGAAGAAGGTCCTGAGGGGGAAAGGTATCTCAGCATGAAGTGGGAAAGGCAAGGATCTTTCAAAACAGAACATGAAAATGAGACAGATGGCACCTTCTTGGGGGTGGTGGATGGACCTTTCTAGGTCTTCAGGGCCTATTACATTTTAGGGTTTGCCTGAGGCCCTAGCTTCGAAGAGCATCAGGGGGACAACGTCTCTCTTTGTGTTTAGTGCAGGAGGGACAGGAGGTCTATGAGCTGAGAGACATAGAAAAGGCAGGCAGAGCCCTGGCTGGTTTTGCTCAGTGGTTAGAGCTTTGGCCTGTGAAACAAGGAGTCTCGGGTTCGACTCCAGTCAAGGGCATGTACCTCTGTTGAGATTCGGTCCCCGGTCTCTCTCACATTAATGACCCTCACTGGGAATACTGAATAGTCCTATGTCTCAAGAAAATGAAATCAAAACTAGCCTCCCACCCCTCTTCCTGCAGGTCCTGGGCTCCAAAGTGGCACTCAGTTCTATATAGCAGAGCAGGGCAGAACAGTGACCATCAACTGCCCTTTCACGTCTGAGAATGCCATGGAGAAGAAGTCCGTGTGCAAGAAGATAGGCGAGTCCTGTGTCCTAGTCATCGACTCCAGTGGGTATGTGAGCCCCAACTACTTCCACAGAGCTCACCTCACTATTCAGGATACCAGCCAACTAGCATTCATCTTTATCATCAACCGACTCCAGCTCAGTGATACCGGGATATATGTCTGCCAGGCTGGGGATGATACTAGAGGTGACCAAAGCAATGTTAAACTCCAGGTGATGAAGCCTGAGCCTAAGCTGCTTTATGGAGACCTGAGGGGCTCAGTGTCCATTGACTGTACCCTGGACCCTGAGGTGGAACATCAAGCTAAAGTTCTGTATCTGTGCCGGGTGAGCAATGGGAACGACTGTGAAATGATCATCAACACCCAGGGGCAGAGGGCTCAGGCCTTTGAGGGGAGGATCCTGATTGTTGCCAAGGTTCAGGGCTCCTTCAGTGTGCATATCAATGGCCTGAGGAAAGAAGACGCAGGGAGCTACATGTGTGGAGCCCACTCTGATGGTGAGCCTCAGGGAGGCTGGCCCATGCAAGCTTGGCAACTCTTCGTCAATGAAGGTGAGACTTGAGAGGGGAAGAGGGAAGAAGGGGGGCCATCAGGCAGGTGAGAGCCTAGCTCTCTCCTTGTGAGTCTATTTAATATTCATCAGTCAGTCAACACTATTTGCTCATGGACAAGCCCTGAATGGGACGCTACGTGGGCAGCTGTCCAGGACAGCTAGAAAACACTGCCTCTGTTATCTTCATTCTTCTCTGTCATCATCTTGATGGCTGACCCTGGTTAATAGAAATGATGAGAGTGAAGTTCCTGATGGAAGCAAGACTTGTAGATCGTCTGGGTTTCAGAGAGCCACGGTGAGCACGTAGCATGGAGTCCCAGAGCCATGGCAGGGATTGCAAGGGCCCTCTGGCCTTTCTCCCTGACAGAATGGCTCCCCGTGCCTTACACTCAGATGGGTGAAACGGTGGCTTGTCCAGCTCTCAAAGCTCCCCTAGGAAGGCAACGCCCCGACTCTAAATGTTCCTGTCCGACATCTCTTACAGTTCATTGCTATTCATGCGATCTGGTTTCCTTAGCTCTACTTTGGCAAGGCATCAAGGTGGTGAAATACTTAAACCCCGGCTCCTTCTCACCCTGGAGCACTCTGCATGGAGTTACCCTCATCAGAAACGAGAAACCAGTACTTACAGTTCAACAGTACTGTCCACGTGACTTATATGGGGCTCACATTTCCTGGGCATCATTTCACTGTCCAGCTTGGGGTGCTTAGCTTGGGGTGCTTACCACATTCCTCAGCAACTTCATTCTGCCAGGGTTCTCATCGAACCTCTGCATGAACTTTTTTTTTTTAATTAATTTTAGAGAGAGAGAAAGGGAGAGGGAGAGAGAGAGATAGAAACATCAATGAGAGAGAACATTGACTGGCCGCCTCCTGCATGCCTCACGCTGGGGATCGGGCCCACAACCTGGGCATGTGCCCTGACCAGGAATTGAACCGGCGACCTCTTGGTTCATGGGTCAATGCTCAACCAGTGAGCCACACCAGCCAGGCTCAGCATGAGCTTCTTGGGGAAGGGCCATCCTTCTCTTTGAGAGGGTCCTTAACAATTAAGCTTATTTGTGTGGCATAATTTATATATATATATATATATATATATATATATATATATATATATATATATATATATATTGGTTTTGGGTTTTATTTTAGAATTTATAAAAATCCAGTGTCATCCATATTCATGAGCCTTTACACATATTTGCATAAAATCTCCAAATTCCAAAGTTAAGGCCAAAAAATGGAAGGTGATACTGTTCCAAATATGTACAGTTTTTTTTTTTAATTTGGAGAAAATTCATCAGGCAGCTAATAAACAGACAAAAACTTATATAGAGGGAGATTTTGCAAGAAGCCAAAGAGAGGACCTGATAGTCTGTCCTTAAATCCTTTTGTATCTCAACCAGCTGGTGTGGCTCAGTGGATTGGGCATCATCCCACGGACTGAGAGGTCCTGGTTCGATTCCTGATCATGGCACATGCCTGGGTTTGGAGCTTGATCCCCAGTAGGGGGCGTGCAGGAGGCAGCTGATTTATGGATATATGTGGATGTTTCTCTCTCTCTCTGTTCTTTCAACTCTCTCTAAAAAATAATCAATAAAAATATATATTTTTTAAAAATAAAAAATAAATTTCTTCCAGTCTCTGCTCAGAATAAGATGAAGGAAGGGAACCAGATGTCCTGTCTAGTGGTGAAGATTACGGGATCTGGTTGGGTGGTTCCAGTGACAGGCTCTGTGACATTAGGAAAGTCTCTCTCATTTTCTGAGGAGGAAGAGGTGATTTGTGGGAGTCTTACTCCCCACCCTGGCTGAGACCAGGGAGGGAGCCTGCTCAGACCATGTTCCATTCTTCCACCCCCATCTCTGTCCTTCCAGAGACGACGATTCCCCGTAGTCCGTCTGTGGTGAAAGGTGTGGTAGGAGGCTCTGTGGCTGTGCCCTGCCCCTACAACCCTAAGGACAAAACCATCTCGAAGTACTGGTGTCGCTGGAATGAGCAGAATAGCTGCCCACAGCTGGTGAGCAGCAATGGGCTTGTTAAGGGGCAGGAAGCAGTCTACGAAGGCAGGCTCACCCTGCACGAAGAGCCAGGCAATGGCACCTACACAGTCATACTCAACCAGCTCACCACCCAGGATGCTGGCTTCTACTGGTGTCTGACCGGCGGTGATATTCACTGGTGGTTCACAGTGGAGCTCCAGATCGTCGAAGGTAAGCCCTGCTCAGGTGGCTCAGTTGACTGGAGCATCAGCCCATGGACCAAAATGTGGCAGGTTTGATTCCTGGTCAGGGCACATACCCAGGTTGCAGAGTCAATCCCTGGTTAGGGCGTGTACAGGAGGCAAAGAACTGACGTTTCTCTCTTACATCAATGTTTCTCTCTCTCTCTCTCTCTCTCTCTCTCTCTCCTTCCTCTCTCTCTATAAAACCAATAGAAAAACATATCTTCTATGATATGTGAGGGTTTAAAAAAAATAAATAAAAGAGCTGAACTGGGGCAAGAGGGAAGGGAGACAGCCCAGGACACCTCCAGTCAGCAGCAGCATCACCCCCCAACTCTTCTTCCTTCTACTGCACACACTGCCATGCTTCTGGGACAGACCTCAGAAAGAGTCCTCCTGGGAAGGGGTCATACTTTCATACCTGCAACAAGTACCCTTCCCTGCACTCAGCTCCACTCTTCAGACTACCACACTTAGCACGTCCTATCTGAGGCGGAACACAGCTCTTTGCACTGAGCCCAGAAAACAAGAGCAAGGAAAGCAAACCGAAGCCGGTGTGCAAGGTTCTATGTTCTGTGACAGACTGACTTGGAGTGGCCGTGCACAATGCTGATCACATGGGTGCCTTAGTACATTTCTTATGTATTCAATATAATGGGGTCGTTTATAATGCTGTCCAAAAGAGGAAATGAGCTGTGGACCAAGGTCCCCACCACAGTCATTTCCCCGCAGCATCGTCACCAGTGCCAACTTCTATGCCTATTTCCTTCCCTCTCTGCTCCAGGAGAGCCAGACCTCAAGGTGCCCCAGAAAGCCACTGCTTGGGAGGGACAGACTCTCACAGTGCCCTGCCACTCGCCGTGCAAATACTTCTCCTACGAGAAATACTGGTGTAAGTGGAGCAACCAAGGTTGCAAGGCCCTGCCCAGCCAAGACCAGGGCTCCAGGCAGGCCTCCGTGAACTGTGACCAGAACAACCAGCTCACCGAACTGGTCCTGAACAAAGTCACCACGCGCGACGAGGGCTGGTACTGGTGCGGGGTGAAGGAGGGCCCCCGATTCGGAGAGACCGCGGCTGTCTACGTGGAGGTCAACAGGAAGGCGAAGGGTGAGTCTCCAAGGCAAGGCCTGCTCCCCCTGGACCCCAGAGAAAGGCTCCTGCCTGACAGTTCCTCCATCAGGGTGGGGGTAGGGGGCCAGGTTTGGCTCTAAGAGGCCGGAGCAGGGAAGATTTAGCCCCCACCTGGTCTCCGCCCTCCGGAAAGGGCGTCCCAAATAAACACACAAACTCAGAAAAAAATAGCAGGTTTGCCATTTAACCTCAGCTTCAAGACAAGTCCCATAGTCGCCTCTTTAGACCATTTGAAAACCTTTCTCTATGTAGAGATCTTCCTTTTTATAGAGAAAGTTCCAAGTCACTGTCATATGCAGTACACTCTGTCAAAGCCTGCTCTCCAAAGATAGCCAGATACCTTCTCCTACGAGGTCTCATAAAGAAAGTTAGGGCAACCTCTTCTAGTAAGTTTGCATTTTACACTTCTTTTTTAAATGTCACATGAAGTATTTTATCCCTAATGAAGGTCTTTTCGGTCCCTCTAGATAGGCAAGTGTGTCTGGGTCCTGCTGGTCGGCTTTGCGGAGGAACCCAATGCCAAGCTACCACCAGGGGGCAGCACTATCGCACCCTACAGTCAGGAGGTTTGGGGCAGGGTTTTAAAGTTGTGAAAACTCCCCGTCCCCAAATGATAGGTTGGTCAGCCTTTACACACAATTGGATCTATGATATGGAGCCTAAGAATAAAATTTGTATTAATGGGACAGAGGTCATATGTGACCAGAGAGAGGAGACCATCACTCCTGTTTTTAGTGCCATCCAGGACCCTACCCTAACAGCTTTGAAATCTCACTCTGCCCCTGTGAGTCATAATCAAGTCCCACTCCTGAGACTTCCTAACCTCAGGAGTGAAAACGTAAAGAAGGAGCCATCCATCATTCAGCCCCACTCCACTCTCTCCAGGGTCCCAGGATGTCAGCCGAGGGAATGCGGCTCCTGGTGAGGCGGTGGTAGAGCCGAGTGTCCGGAAGATCCCGAGCAAAGTTGTTCCGGATCCCAGCCTTTTTGCAGAGGACAGAGCAGCGAAGGCTAGTGAAGACGAAGCTGACAAGAGCAAGGCGCCTGCAGACTCCAGCAGGTGAGGAAGGATTCAGGGCTCCCCACTCAGAGAACAAGGACCTGAGGCTGGGCCACCAGGTCTGAGCAGGAGAGCCTGCCAGCTTCCTGGTAGGGGGGCAGCCCTCACTGCGTCTGCTGGTGCTCAGGAGAGGCTGGGGGTGCCCTCAGCCCTTCTCCTGTGGCTGGGGCAGGGTTAACCGTCCAGGTCAGTTTCCCAGGTCTGGGATGCAGAGAAGGCCCAGCCTTAGCCTATGTCATGTCTGGGAAGGTTTCTCGGAAAAATGGAGATAGAGGGTTCTATCAGGAGGAGGGACTGGATTAACCTGGAAGGAAGAACTAGCCAAAGCCAGCACATTGTGGGACGCCCAGGTTTCCTCTTCAGTGACTCACTCACTCACTCTTTCTTGCAGCTCTGCAGGACAAGGAAGGAGCTCCACCGTGCTGGTCTCCACCCTGGTGCCCCTGGCCCTGGTGCTGGCACTGGGGGCTATGGCGGTGGCGGTGGTTAGAGCCCGGCACCGGAGGAACGTTGGTGAGCCCTGGGATGCTCACTGCTCCCCCACCTCCAGCCCCTTGTCGGGAGGCGGGTTTGCCATGGTCCCTGCTCTTTCATAAGCTCAAGAAAGGGTTCTGGGAAGCAGGGCCGAGAAAGATAAACCCACAGGTATCAAAACTGACATTAAGTGCTGCTGTCCAAACGATGTCTCTGGAAGTCCATCCCGATTGTTCAGGTCTCAGTTCAGAGACAGGGCAGCCAAAGAGGAGAGCGGGCGCTGAGGAACCACACGTCCAGCCTAGTTTGAGAACTAATCGGATGCGTGACTTTGGGTGTCACCATTTCATGCCTCATAGCTCAAGATAGGGCTCATAATTCTACCTCAAAGGGCTGAAGAGAGGACAAAACAAGGTTCTACTCATTGAAAGGTCACAGAGTGACAAACAGGGATTGTCGAGCGTTGGTTGTTCATGGAAAGGGACTGGGAAGGAGACTCAGAACATTGCCAGTCTGCTTTGGGTCATAGTCAAAGATGAGCAACCAGAGACCCTGCCCCCGACCCCCAGCTTCCCATGGGCTCCCTCTGAAAGAAGCAGCATGTCCTGCTCCCGTCTGTCCCCAGCCCCATCCCTACACCAACTCTTTTTTCTCCCCAACAGACCGGGTTTCAATAGGAAGCTACAGGACAGACATTAGCATGTCGGATTTTGAGAACTCCAGGGATTTTGGAGCCAATGACAACATGGGAGCCTCCCCGGTCACTCAGGAGACATCTCTTGGAGGAAAAGATGGTACGTCCCTCACTCAAGAGGATACCTGACCCCCAGAAGAATTAGAGCCGACTCTGTGTCAGGTGGGAATATGAGGCTAGTGAGGGCTAATTCACCCCCTTCTTTTCACACAGAGTTCATGACCACCACCGAGGACACTGTGGAGACTGAAGAGCCCAAGAAGGCCAAGAGGGTAAGGGTGAGAAGGGAGAAGGACACCTCCCTTGGGTGACAAGGAAATATGACATGAGGGACTGCAGTTGGACATCAGGAAAAACGACCTCAAAGTGGGGCTGATGTCAGAGCAGGGGAGGTGGTGTCAGCAGTGTTCGGGAGAAAGGAGGGTGAGATGTATGTTACTGGCGTGGCGTTGATTGGCAGGGCAGAGGTAGGAGGTGGACTACAAACGTGCAGGAGGGAGACAAGTGCACGGAAGATTCGGCCATAGGGTGGGAAGGTCAAATATCCTAGGCAGGTGATTAGGTGGCTGGTCCTCCTGGGCTGCAGGGCCCAGGGACTTCACGTCACCCTTTGAGAGTTTGCTCAGGACCAGCTTTTTGCCTGAGACGGAAAGACACTTGCTGGTGATGGGCAATTTGGTAGATAGTAGATGTCCCTCCCCACCCCAACCAAGTGTTCCTTCACTTGAAATCTTATCAGGTGACTCCTGCCTTTGGGTCACCTATCACCCTCCCTGCATGCCTCTGTAATCCCAAGGGGATGTATTGATCAGATCTACTCCCCCTCACAGAAGCAGACCCCAGCATTTGGAACAGTTAGGGGAATGAGCCAGTTCTGGAGACAGCCTTCCTCTCGAGCCTTGTGTTGGGTCTCTGGGCTGGTGGACAAAGAATAGCCTGAAGCCCTGTGGCCGACACCAGCCTAGGGCCCTTGCCTTTGTGAACTGTGTGGGCAGAGCTTCCGGGGACAGGCCCAAGCAACAGAGGGTTCCACTCCACGTGTCGGAAGGAGGTAGTGAGACAGAGGGAAATATTTTTAGAAGCTGCAACTTTCCGTTTCTCAAAATTAGTCCCTCTTGGTAAATATGGGGGCTGGAATCAGAACAGCCTGGTCAACACAGGCCTGGGTTGCCGGGGCCACGAGGATGGAGTTAGGATACTTAGTGTATCCTCTCCTTCCGACCCCCACCCACTGAGCCAACCCTGTAAACACTGACCCCTCTCCCGTTGCCCTTACAGTCCTCCAAGGAGGAAGCTGACATGGCCCACACTGCCTTCCTGCTCCAGGCCAACAGCATGGTGACCGACGTCCAGGAGGGCCCCAGCGAAGCCTAGGCAGAGCGCCAGATGCCGCCTCCTTCCACCCTTGACAATCACCTTCAGAATCCTGTTGATTCTTAGGGCTCTCAGCTTCAGGGGCTTTCCTGCCTGCACCCACACCCTACCTGGGCTTTTCCTACCTGTCCTCAGAGAGCATGCTAGTCCCTCCCCAGCGGCATCCCAGCCTGGCCTCATTGTTCCTGGGAGGGGTGAGGTGATGTGAGGAGTTCCCACCTGAGGGAACTTATTTCTGAGACAACTAAGGTGTGGAAGGAGAATGGAATTTTTAGAGAGGCCTCATTGGAAAGAAGAGCTCAGGATGGGTGGGAGATCATTTTAGAGGGGACGGGCATTCGGGGCTTCTCTGCACCCTTATTATGGGATGTCAATGGGATTTTCCTCTTCACTCCATCACTCCATCTCTCATCCTCTCCCTCCCATCTGTCCTGCCTTTTTCTTTCCTTCATTGAAAATACATATATGAGCCCTGACCAGGTAGCTCAGTTGCTTAGAGTGTTATCCTGATACAGCAAGGTTTGATCTCCTGTCAGGGTGCATACAGGAAGCAACCAATAAATGCATAAAGAACTGGAACTGTGAATCAATGTTTTTTTCTCTCTCAAGTCAATAAATAAATAAAAAGAGAAAAGAAAATACTTCTAGGAATCCTCACCAGAACTCAGGCGTTCTGCTAGACACATGAACAGGGAGACCGCACACCCAGGCTGCAGCCTTTCTGTAAGCACCACTGAGTCCTTGGCAGCCACAGCTCCTCTGTGTATTATACTCACTATGACCTGACGTCCTCATCAGGTCATAGTGAGTACTCACCTCTCTGCCCATATTGGGAGGAATCATAAAAGGTCTGGAGTCCTAAGGCCTTAGGGATCATGCAACATGGACATACCTACAACAAATCTTAAATGCACATTCTTAACATTTTACAGGTGAGACAATTGAGGTCCTGAGAGGTGAAGAGGTGTGCTCAGGGGCACCAAGTGAGATACACTAGATTTGGCGTCTCCTGTTTTCTTAGCCAGGGATCGCTCTACAAGAGCCCTGCTCTCCTGGTGTAAACAGAGTTCTAGAACAAGGAGGAAGAGGAAGAGGAAGAGGAGGAGGAAGACAAAACTGAAAAGGGAAGCTGGACTTTCACAGGCCACACCTCAGGGAAGACAACCGTTTTCCTTTCTGTCACTCACTTGGACCTAAGAGGATAAGAGAATGGTCAAAAAATCATAACTCCTGTTTTTAAAAAATATGTTTTTATTGAAGTTTGTAGAGAGAGAAGAAAGGAAAGGGAAAGAGAGAGAGATGTTTATGTGAGACAGAAACACCAATTGACTGCCTCTTGCACACCCCCTATCCTGGGGATCGAGCCTGCAACTCAAGCATGTGCCCTGAACAGTAATCAAACCCATAACATTTTGGTGCATGGGACAATGCTCAATCAACTAAGCCACACTGGCCAGGGCCATAACCCCTGTATTTGAAGAGTTCTGAGTGGAAGGGAAGAGGAGGGAATTTGATGGTGCAAAGGAGGGGCTGATCTCCAAAGAGCTAAGGTTTAGGTCTTTTTCCCTCTAAGCTCTGTACCTCAGCCAGCTGGCGCTTGCTAACAAATCAAGAATGTGATTTAATTAATAATTAAAGACCATGATTGCCACCAAAGAGGCTCTGACTTTGTCCCCCCAAACCTTCTATTTCCCAGACAACCCTTTTAGAGCAATTTGCTTGGGTCCCACTTTCAGGCAACCCAAGACATGCATCTACACCAAAGCGTCTTCCATTGCCAACACTGGGCTGAGAAAGACTATGAAGGACAAAGATTATCTTCAGTAACAGAATAACTTGGTGTCTACACCAATGGTCCAGACTCCAAAGCTCTGTGTTATAGAACATAATTAAGACTGTTTATAATGGAATAAACTGAAAGCAGGTGTAACCAGTGCTTCCCTTAGGCATTGAAAAGAAATCTTTGTGAAGCATCCATAGAATACTTGACCTTGAATTTCATACCTTTCTGGGGTATTCTCCAAGATCAAGAAGTTGTCATCAAAAGTCAAGAATCCAAATGAGTGAATTCCCTCCATGGGAATATCACCTAGAAGCTATTTAAAAGATAACTTGGGTTTTTAGAATAGTTGATTCAAAGTATCTTGGGGGACAGTGATTAGATAAAAGACCCCATTGTCTACTAAGGCCGTTCCTAGGTTCTGGTACTGAAACTAGTCTTATCCTATAAGCCCCTACCCCACCCAGACTCTTCCTCAGGGCTTCCGTGTATGGAGATCTTTCTCTGGGAGAGAGTTCTTCCCAGCCTTCTATAAAGCCTGAGGTAGGGCAGAACCTTTGCTTCTATCCGGGCCTTGAACATATGCTTCTGATGCCACATGCTTCCTAAGCCTACCCTTGACAGGACTCAGCCATCAGTCCTCCTCAGTCTCCCCTCCAGCCCCACCCACCACAGTGCCCAATCCTGAGTCTTGGGCTCCTCCCTGGCCAGGAGAGGTGATGGTCAGGAATATTTCCCTGTTCTCTAGCTTCTCCTGGAATGAAAACAAATCATTCCAAGAGCACCAAAACTACAGGGTGTGTCAAAACCTATCAGTTTTACCTTTGGGAAGCTGCTCTCTGACTCACCAAAGGTTCATGCCTGGGGAAGAGGATTAAGTGAAGCTTCCTTATTAATGCCAATTACCTGCAAGCCAATCCTGAACTCCTGCAGCCTATCTCAGTCCCTAGAATCAAGTCAAGAAACGTGACTAAAGCTGCAGACGATCTTATAGTATTGACTGCTATCATCCATAGGTGATAGCTAGTATAACAGTGTTCTTCCCAAAGTCCACCTGCTTCTTATGCAGCATGCTGGACAGAGAAGCCCTTCTTTGAAGAAGGAAACTGGTCTATAGCCAACATGGAATACTAATAAATTAAAGTCACTTTCTGGGGGGGAGTGTGTTAAGTTCCTCAGTCTGCTGTAACAAAAACCACAAACAGGGTGGCTTAAAACAACAGTAATGTATTCTCTCATGTTCAGGAGGCTAGAAGTGTAAAATTAGGGTATCGGCGAAAATGGCTTCTTCTGGAAGCTCGAAGGGAGCATCTGTTCATGTTTCTCTCCTAGTTTTTGGTGGTTGCGAGTTATCCTTGGCATCCCTTGGCTTACAGATACATCACTCCAATCTTTGCCTCCATCACCACATGGCCTTCTCCCAGCGTGTCTCTCTGTGTCTTCACGTGACTTTTGTATAAGGACACCAGTCATTGGATTTAAGGCCCACTCTCATCTGGTTTGACCTCACCTGCAAAGTTCCTGTTTCTAAATAAGGTGATATTCTGAGGTTCTGGGTGGACATGATATTGAAGGGACACTATTCAGCTCAGTACAAGGGAGTAACAAATCGACTCTGGGGTTGATGATGATAAATCAATTAGCAATGATCAGTTTCCAGCAACCATTCAGGGATCTACTTAAATATTTCTGATGACAAAACAATCTTCCTCAAGTTCTTGAATTATCTCGATTTTTTTTTTTCATTTAAAAAATCCATTATGTAATAATGACTATGCATTACTAAGGCCCAATTACCACCGAGAATCTGTTTGTAGTAATAGCTGATTTTGGTTTGACAAGCAAATATATATTTGTCCGAGATGTTCCCAAGACCCGGGACAGCATCTCCTACGGACAGTGGACAACAGAGGGGAGTCAAATGTTGTGACATGGTCTGTGAAGCTGATCCTCAATGAAGAAGAACAATGTAGAGTTGCCCCTCCCCCACCTTCAAACTTCTTCTGAAATAATGAGCTTTACTAGGAAGTCTGTACAGTAGAAATAATAAAAGATCATCTCAGAAAGACTACATATCTAAGTAGATAGGAGGCATACCGAGAGAAGATGTAAGACTGAGACCAGTGATTCCCACCTGGCCAGAGAGGTGAGGCAGGAAGGGAAGGAAGATGGTCAAGCTATATGACTCTAGAACTACAAGCTTGGCAAGTCTATCCTAAGGCTGATGAAGAAATGGGTGGCCAATCCACCCTCACTAGAGCCAAAAGTCTTTGTTTAAGTGTGTGAAGGTGAGCCCTGGCCAGTTTGGCTCAGAGGTTGGAGCGTCGGTCTGCAGACTGAGAGGTCACAGGTTCAATTCCTGGTCAAGAATACATACCTGGGTTGTAGGTTTGATTCCCGGCCCCAGTGCAGGCGTCATGTGGCAGGCAATCAATCGATGTGTCTCTCTCACATTGGTATTTCTCTCTGTCTCTCCCTCTCTCCTTTCCACTCTGTCTGGAAAGCAATGGAAAAATATCCTCAGGTGAGGATTAAAAAGTAAATAAATAAATAAATAAATAAATAAATAAATAAATAAATATGTGAAGGTGAATGTTCTAAACTTCAGGTTTTTGCTGGTAAGTCACATTAAAATTCATCCAAAATTTTCACCTATTTGTGTTCTGATTTTAGAATGCTAACAGGAATGCGACCATGTTCAGAAGAGAAATCTTTCTTACCAAAACTCTACCATTTCTTGTAGCAGAGTCACAAGTAAGCTTTCTGTAAAGGTTAACCATTCCAAAGCCCAGGACCATTTCAATGGTCCAAAGACCATTCCAAAGTCAAGTTCTTGGAAAGAAGGGGCTGTTTCTGAGCCAGGTGCTTCTACCCGGGTGGGCTCTCTTGTGAGTCTAGTAGGCAGGGTGACTCTCTTTGGAAAGGGCAGTGTTGGGTCATGGAGAGGGCCCCTTGAGGATCTCAGCCCTCAGTCTGGAGAGACCCAGGAGATGGCCCTTGGAAACCTGGCCACATGGGAGGTCAAAGTAGGGTGAGGCAGCAACCAAGCAGAACCAATAACGGCAATCTCCACCTAATGACCGTGGCTAATCTCCACCGCTCTCACATTCTATTCTAGGCACCATACCAAGCCCTTTGCAATGCTGACCTCATGTAATCCTCACCAAAACCTTATGAGGAATAGTCTTCTTATCCCATCTGTAACACAGGGAGGATAATGAAATCTAAGTTACTACAGAGATTAAATTTACCTACAGGATTTAGAACACTTCCCATCAGGCTCTGAATTTTTTCTTCAGGTTCATCCCTTCTGATTAATCATCATTCTTAGAGGATGTTCGGCCATTGAGGTCCCCTCCATCAGTGTGCTTCAGCTTATCAGATCGTCTCCTGGGGTAGGAGCACCAGGGCAATACAACAGCCCTTGAGTCAGGAAGGAGACAAATTAGCAAGAAAGAAAAGAAGGATGGTAAACTTTCCCCACTTTGCAATTTAGCCAGGGGTCAGCCTTCCCTGGGGCCCAACCCCAAGACCCCGGGGCAGCATCTGGAGGCAAAGACTGGATGAGTCAAGATTTGGAAGTGTTGACCCCCAAGACTCCAAACATTCACTTCCTGCCCAGAAGTTCCTCAGACCCCAAATTTTTGCTCTTAAGAACCTAATGTGATGTTTCTGAGGTTTTATTTGGGCCACACATGATGTGAAAATCTCTCCTAACCCTCATTCCACACATCCCCAGCACCTCTTGGCAGGTCCCAGCCACGGCCAGGCCAACCTCTCATCTTCATACACCACATGTCCTCCCACCACATATTCACAACCACACAACACACATTCACAGATTACATATTCACACATCATACAACACAACACATTCACTCAGCCACACATCACATATTCGCGCATCACACACCACACACACACATCATTATGCCACACGTCAAACATTCACACACTAACATCTTACACGTAACACATTCCCACTACACTCCTCACACTGTCGCACACAACACACATTTCACACACACATGTCACAGCTGCGTACCACTCATCTCTCACATGTCACACACTACACACTCACACACTCTCACGCCACAACACATTCATTCATTTGTTCTCTCTCCAGGGCAACGGCAGGCCTGGATCCCAGCAAAGGCCAGAGCCCAGCTGTGTGACAGCTATAGGGCACTGGGCAGAGCCCTTGAAGTTGGGGAGGCTGAGGAGACCCAAGACCTCTCACTCACTCTAACCAGAGCCCTGAGGCTGCCCACTGACACCTTGGCCCAGTGTGGTTGGAGGAAGCCATGAATACAGCTGCTGTAGGCCAGTGGAGACACAGATAGGGGTGGGCAAGACAGGCTGCCCACCCCCACACACTTCCTCTGCACCTGCTCTGAGCCTCACACTCAACTTCCACTGCAGATGTCATCATTTTGTGTTTTGAAAAGCTTGTGACAAATCTGGTGTGTGGGGGCCAGTGGGGAGCTATGTACACAGGACCACTGAGGAGCCTGGAGGCTCTGTTAGCCACAGCCTCCCAGAAGGATGTGAGAAGAGCCTGAGTCCTTCATGGGTACAGGAGGTAGCAGCACCTGGAGGTGTGGCCCTGGCAACCAACCTAGGATGCAACATCCAGACATGAAGCCTTAGAAATTCTCCAATAAGTGACAGCCCCACACATCTGCATATTACAGCACTTCCATGAGCATGGTTTCTGCTGGGCCTCATGAAAGCCATGCGAGGTAGGCAGGGCAGATACCATCTCTATTTATCAGTGGAAAACGGAGGCTTAAAGCTAAAAAGTGCCAAGGTAGAACCAAAACCCAGGGCTTCTGACTGGAACCCAAAGCACTTTCCATGATACCATGTGGCTGACGGCCTCAGTGTCTCTCTCCTCTCCATCAGTTACTGGACTGTGCCCTTGGACCCTTGAGGTCCTTATAGGGTGGTTATACCAGGTTGCTGTGACTTTAGGCAGAGTTCTCTGTGGCCTGTCACAGCCTCTCCTGGCATCGCCTCTGTGGTCACTGAACAGGGGCCAGAGCCAGCACCTTAGGGGAACCGTTAGGGAGAGAGATAGTTAGGTGGTTGGTTTGAGGTTAAGACTTCAGGAACAATGTTGTAGAAGGGAATGCCAGGGATCATCTAGTCCTACCTTCATTTCTAGATAAAGAAATCGAGGTTGAACATCCATAGTTAGTCTTCCCACATAGTAAGTTCTCAAATATTTATCAAATGAGTTCAAGGGCTACAACAAGCACCTCTGACTCAGGCCCAAACTTCTGTCCACACAGCCTTCCTCAGATGGAGAACAGTGGTGATGAGGCTCTTATTCTGAAGACAAGGGAGAAAGTCGAAGGACTCTGGCTAGGACATCAACAAACATACATAAAGCATGGGAGGCTCCTGCAAGAAAAAATGACCAAGACAAAGAAATCTCATGCCTTCTAGTTTCTAATAGTCTTTACGGTCTGCCTACAAACCCTTTGAACCCTGGTGACCCATTATCATTCAACACAACATGTTTTCTTAACTCCTGACTTCCGTTGTGGTTTGCTGATGTTATCTTTTTTGGACTAAGACTAGCAAGAAAAAACAAAGAGGGGCTGTCATTTCCTCATTTTCAAGCCTTCATCTTCACATGGGCCAGAAATCTCATTCAAACACCGGACTGTGGCAGGCTCCTGGGTGAGCAGTGGATCTCTGTTCCCCTCTCCTGGGGCTCTTGGATGGGACCTTGCTCTAGAAGGAGCCATGGACCTCTGGCTTTGGTTAATTTACTTCCTGCCAGGTAAGTGCTGTGGGGAAAGAGCTCATATGTCTTAGGAGGTTTGAATTGGCCACAGGTAGAGGAGTGGCTGGTGCCTCCGGCTCTGATATTTCTGGACAGATTTAGCTACAAACCAGTACCTAGGGTAGGACACAGATGGAGGCCACATGAGGCATTGGGGACCCTCCCCACTACCTGCTAGAGCATCTCTCTCCACTCCAGATACATCTCCTGCTGAGCTCACATATTGACCCACAAGGGCTGAAGGTGTCACCTCTCCCAGACATATAGCCTATAAGACCTTAAAGCAAGTGCCACCAAAGTTCTTTCTTCTTACCTCTACATTCTCTTTCTTTGGATTTCTTTCACTCTTGATTTTCAACTTTCAACTCTACATGAAGACTCCCTAATCCATTCAGTAGCCCTAGTCCATTTCCCGAGCCCCCTATCTCAGTTTACAACTGTCTCCTGGGCACCCCCACTTCAATATCCCACCCGGATCTGAAATGCAACATGCCTCACACCTTACTTCAAATTCCTCATTGGTCACCATCCAAACCAGCTGATTTCTCTAAACTACCTCTGATATTAACCACCAAACATCAGAATGGCTCTTTTCCAGCTCTTTCCATTTGTCACCATTCACTCTTTGATTCAATCAGTGGTCAATTTACCAGGATGAGAAGCAATGGCAGCCTCTAGTAGAGAGGTAACAGGGGGAATGGAAAAGAAAAGAACACATAGTCATCTCTTACCTGTCTTCCCCACTCCCTGCAATTTGACCTGCCTGTAGTTCCTGATTCGTTTTCCTAAAAGCTTGACTCCCATCCTAGGATTGTCCTTCCCACTGTCTCCTGAATTAAATACAAACCTCTCTTGTGCCCCTCTTTACTTCTGAGTTTATTATACTCCTCCACACTTCCCTGGCCTCCAGTTAAACAGGACTCCCCCTTGAGCATGTGCTAGAATTTCTGCCACTAGCCCTTGCTCATCTCACTCCTTCTACCAGGAGCATTCCTCTGCTCACCTGCACCTTCTGTGAGTCCTTCAAAGCTAGTCTCAATCATCACCTCCTTCCTAGATACTTTCCAGAATCTCCTCTTCAGAACCCCAGTAGCTGATTCCATTCTGCCTTGTCTTGTGGTTTGGGGTGTTGTCCCCCTCATTTTGTTGATGAAATGGTCATCTCCTTGAGGGTCAAAATGGATTTTTTTATCCATACTTGCTTTCTTTGTGATGGCCTGAATGTGGAAAAAAGTCAAACCTTTGTCAAATTGAAGATTGAAAACCCCTAAAAAGCCCAAGGGAATGGAGTTTCAGTGAAGGGTCAGACTCGGTGAACAGTAGTAGGACAGTAGGACTGAGCACAGTGTGAGTACAATTAAACTCAACCCTCAGAGGGAAGAGGGGTTGGGTGGGAGCGGAAGGTCTCTAGGAGTGAGGGGTACCTAAATTGTTCCACAGGCAGCTGTTCTAAACAATACCATTGTTCTATCTGGGCCAGAGGAGTCCAGGCTCTGGGCTGGTCCTTCCACATTTGTGCCCATCCCCACAGGGTAAGGAGTTCACAGGCCCAAGGGGATGTGCCCACTCCAAGCCCACACCCATACCCCCTCTTCTAGACCTTGAGTTCTCCATCCAAATGTCCTCAGGCCCACTTTCAATGACTGTGTGAGCTTCCACCCTAGGGTCTTCTACCCTGGGGTGAACCCTTGGCCTATTAAAGGGTGGTGCAGGTGGCTGTTTAGGAAGGAAATGGATGGAGCTTATGCCTGCAAGCTGGGGGAGCCATCATGTACACACCAGGACCCTTGTGTCAGCGGGAGCCACAGGTGAGAAAAGAAAGGAGGTAAGCCAGAGGCTGGGCAAAAAGCTTGGGGTCTTTCTTTCCCTTATAGCCAGGTTTGTTTTATTTATTTATTTATTTATTTATTTATTTATTTATTTATTTATTATTCCTCACCCGAGGATATTTTTCCATTTATCATTAGATAGAGTGGAAGAGAGGGAGCAAGAGACAGAGAGAAACATCAGTGTGATGAGCTATATCAACTGGTTGCCTCCCGCATGACCCGACCAGGGCCGGGGATGAACCACAACCGAGGTATGTGCCTTTGACCGGAATTGAACCCACGACTCATTGTTCCATGGGCCAATGCTCTAACCACTGAACAAAACCAGTCAGGGCCCCTTATAGCCATGTTTTAGAGTAACATCCAAGGAGTGTATGAATTTGTCAAGATAGGGGTATAGGACATACTTTATTTTACAGTTTATTGGCTTGATTTATAACTTTAGAATATTTAGACATATAATAGTTGGGACTTTATTTGTATTCATGCCCCAGGTCCTGCAAATGTTGGAGTGGTCCTGGTCCCCAGAAGTCAATGCATGAGGCCCAAGCTATAGGCCATACTGCCTGGAGCCTTAGGTGGCATTGCATAATAAACACCAGGCAGTATCATGTGGTGTAGACTTTCAAACCTTTTTTACATATAATAATAATAATAATAATAATAATAATAATGCTGCATACATAATACCTACATACATACACATTAGATGTTGTGATCCAGTGTGCACACACACCCCCCTATAATTTGCTCTTGATTTTTTCATATGTGAATGGATGGATTTTTCTGAGATAGGAAGAGCTTGTGAAGAAATGGGTTTTGCTTTGGCTGGTTTGGTTCAGCGGTTGGAGCACTGATACTCAAACCAGAGTTGTGGGTTCAATTCCAGTCAAGGGCATGTGCCTAGGTTGTGATTTGGTCCCCGGCCCTGGTCTCTCACCTCTCTCTCTCTCTCTCTCTCTCTCTCTCTCTCCCCCCCCCAAAGATAAATGGAAAAATATCCTCAAGTGAGGATTTAAAAAAAATTTTTTTTTCTTTATTGATTTTAGAGAAAGAGAAAGGGAAATGGAGAGAGAGATAGAAACGTCGATGAGAGAGGTACATCGATTGGCCGCCTTCTGCATGCCCCCCACTGTGGATTTGGCCCACAACCTGGGCATGTGCCCTGACCGGGAATTGAAACCGTAACGTCTTGGTGCATGAGTCGATGCTCAATCACTGAGCACCACTGGCCAGGTTCAACTGAGGTTTAAAAAAAAGGGATTTTGTTTTGTTCTTTGTCATTGTTTTGTTTTTAATTAAATTTATTGGGGTGACATTGGTTAATAGGATCATATATATTTCAAGTGTACATTTCTATGATACATGACCTGTATATTGCATTGTGTGCCCACCACCCAAAATCATATAATTTTCCATTACCATATATTTGGCCCCTTTTACCTGCTCACCACTCTCTCCAAACCCTTCCCTCTGGTAACCACCATACTGTTTGTTGTCTGTGTCTGTGAGTTTCAGTTTTGTATTCTACCTATGAGTGAAATCATATTATTCTTAGCTTTTTCTAACTGACTTATTTCGCTTAGCATAATATTTTCAAGGTCCATCCATGTTGTTGTAATGGGAGTATTTCATCTTTTCTTATGGCTGAGCAGTCTGTAGTATATATGTACCACATCTTCTTTATCCAATCCTCTCTCGAAGGATACTTTGGTTGTTTCCATGTCTTGGCCACCATAAATAATGCTGCAACGAACATGGGGTGCATATATCTTTGCAAATACATGTTTTCAAAATTTTTTGATAGATACCCAGAAAGAGGGGTTGCTGGGTCATATAGTAACTCTATTTTAATTTTCTGAGGAACTGCCTTTCTGTTTTCCATAGTGACTGTACCAGTTTACATTCCCACCAGCAGTGAATGAGTGTTCCTTTCTCTCCACAACTTCTCCAACACTTGTTATTACTTGTCTTGTTGATAATAGCTGTTCTACCAGATGTGAGGTAGTAGTTCATTGTAGTTTTGATTTGCATTTCCCTAATAGCTAGTGAAGTTAAACATCTTTTCATATATCTGTTGACCATTTGTATGTCTTCTTGGGAGAGGTGTCTGTTCAGGTCCTCTGCCCATTTTTTTAAAAGGAATTGTTTGTTTGGTGTTGAGTGGTATGAATTATTTATATATTTTGAATGTTAACCACTTGTTAGAGCTGTTGTCTGCAAATATCATCTCCCATTTAGTTGGTTGCCTTTTTGTTTTGTTGTCAGTTTCTTTTGCTATGCAAAAGCTTTTTAGTTTGATATAGTCCCATTCATTTATTTTTACCTTTACTTCCCACATGCTAAAGAATGAAACTAGATTATAGTTTATCCCTATGTACAAAAAATTAATTCAAAGTGGATCAAAGACCTAAGTATAAGATCTGAAACAATAAATTACACAGGAAACATAGGTACTGAACTTATGGACAGACCTAGGTCGTAAAGAACATTTTATGAATTTGACCCCAAAGACAAGGGAAGGAATGGGTTAATGAAGGTGAATCAAAAGTCCTTTTTTTGCCATTGTAAGTTTGAAACATATACTAGATATTCAAATGGAATCAAGTGGAGACATCAGGAAGGCAAGTCTAGAGCTCAGAGACAAGACTTGAGATGCGTGTTTGAGTGCAATCTGTAGAGTTAGCATTAAGCCATGGGCATAAATAAGTTAGTGTGGGGAGAGAATGAAGGACAACAGAGAAAGGAACAGACCAAAGCACAAGGCCCTGGGGTGGCCCAACATTGGCAGGTGGATAGAGAAAGAGAAGTAAGTTAGGAGATTAAAAGGGAACAGTCATTGGGAGTATGGTGTCAGGGAAGACATGAGAAGAAAGAGTTTCAAGGGCTCATTTTCATCCAATGCTGCCAAGAGGGTGAAGTGAGCATTAAACATGGCAATAAGAAAAACTTGGGTGGCCTTGATTAGAGAAGTGTCAGTGGCATGTTGGAGATAAAATTCTGACAGGTGTAGGTAGAAGAGGAATTGGGAGGCATGGAAGTGGATTCAGTGATTTTGATGACTCATTTGAGAAGGAGAACAGAGAAGGGTGGCAGCTGAAGGGGAGGCAAAAGTCAACCGAGGGGTTTTCAGTGTGGGCACTATGGAGCATGGGCATGAGCCATGGC